CGTTTGAAATCGTTTTACTAAACTATAGGTTATAAATTAATTAAAACTCCTATCATGTGGGAATGTTAACCAATCAAAGCTGATGGACCATTCAGACGGAAAAAAAAAAAAAGAGTAAGGGACCAATTAAAAAGGAGGGAGGTTTCTTCAAAAAAAAAAGAAGAAAAAAGGATGATATGATTCTAACCTTTTTTTTTTGGGGGGGGGGGGGGGGGAGGGGGGAATGGACTCGTTAACCCATCAACTTGACCCGCTTGTATCTCCTCTGTCCGAGCTCCGTTTTGGGCGATCTTAGTGTCCATGAAAAGCTCTTGATGAGCCCTACATCTCTGTAGTGTTAGATTTCCCATTTTCTTTTCCATCTTTGCAATTCGAAGCCACAAAGCCCACGACTTTTTCGGCAGTTTTATCATTTTTCCGGTGATTCTGGCAACAATTTCCTTTGAGTGAGGTATGAAACTTCATCTACTCTTCATAATCTTCAAGTTGGTATGGTTAGCTTGTGCTTTCGTGTTCATTTTAGAGTTGGGTGTTTAGAACCCTAGAAATCCGGTTTTCTTCGGTGAATTTGGACAGTTTTCGGTTAGAATTTATCGTCGGCCTAGTTGTGAAAAGTGTTTCCCTTGTTGAACTCTAGCTACCATGTAAATTTGATCTCATTTAGTTAATGTTGAAAATTCGGGGTTTCTAAACCCTCCACCTTGGCTACCACCGTGTGTGGGACCGTCCACGAGTGTTGTCTAAGTACCAAATACCTTCTAGTGACCCTGTGAACCTATGTCTTGGTTTCCTGAAATTCAATTGTTTGGTGTGGTGATCAAATTGGACCACCACTTGTTTGTGTGATTGACGATAATCTGACCGTTGGATCATAATGAAAATTTAGTATGTTATTCTAGAAGCATAATGTGGACTTTGGGAAGTTATGGATCAAAAACCCGATGTGCGGATCTTCAGGATTGAATTACGTAGAGTTGTGGACCCTATCGTTGACCGAGAGTTGATTTGTGGTCAACATGTCTCAAAACGTTCTAAATAATAAAATTAGTACTACGGGACTAATTGAAGTCTAGTGAGCCTATATTGGTTAGATAGTGACTTGAATATATGAGATATGATTATTATCTTAATTTCTTATATTGGTATCATTTGTGAATATGATTTGGTCTTATAAATATGATTTCTATTGAAATGTGATTTTTATATATTTAGCCATAGACCTATGCTTATTACATATGATTTGGCTTGTGTACTGATGATGTTTGTGATATATATGTGTTTAATTATCTTTTTAATAATGTGAATGATAATTATGATGAATGTTATGACAATTATGGGATCTAATTATTGTTTGATAATTATTTGGATATGATTGCCAGCTGAATGCCAACTGAATACCTATTTGAACTTGGCATTACTACCTAGTATGTGATAGGGATGAAAGTCAGGAGATGAGTTAGGTACTTTATTAGATTTTTTAGTAGAAATAGTAATTAGGGGAATTCCTTGTGATGTGCTCTATATGACTAGATGCTGGTTGATATGTGGAATCGATAATGTGTATACGTATAATTGGGTATAATGTGTGATGATGAGACCGCACCATGTAGTAGTGGTACATGGATGGTCCTGCTTGGTATATCCGCGATGGGGGACCATATGTATGCTAGGAGTCATCATGCTTGATATATCCGCAATGGGTGATCATTACCTAGAGTTATATGATACAGTCTTGCTTGGTATATCCACGATGGGGGATTGTTAGGGGTGATCATGCTTGGTATATCCGCGATAGGTGATCATTGTCTGCACGATGAGATTAGGCCTATGGTTCTGCTTGGTATATTCGCGATGGGAGACCATACGCATTCTAAAGGTGATGATGATTAGTTGTACTTGGTACATTTGATAGGCGATCATATTTAGTTTGGTTCCGTTGAGTGGTACGGAACCCGAGGTTGTTGGATTTCGTAGAGTGGTCTGAAATCCCATTATTTGGAGAAGTAGGCTTGGCGTAACTGTGTCACTCTAACCTTAGTTTTATATATATTTGTATCAATGGTTTCGAGAATCTTGTGAATTGAGTTAGAAAAGATGTTGGAAGTCTGGGTGACTCATTTGGGATTTTCTATGATTCGATTACGATTTCATAAGGTATGAATTTAGAAGATATGGGAATGATTGTTATTACTTTGATCAAATTAATTAATTAATGTGGCTAGAGAATGGTTTTGTGTTTTGTCGGTTCTTAAATATGATGTATGTTGTGAATTGTAATATCATGATGAGACATAATGATTTATATGTAGGATGGAAGAGAAATCATGATTTCATGACGGTTTGTTATGTAGCTTGAGCCCAGGCATTTCATGCTATCAGGTTATATTAAATGATTGAGGAATGTTATGCTTTTCTGCTTGAACTTAATGGGATAAATGTCTGGTTTTTTGAATGGTGAACTACGAATGACTTGATCCCTATTGAGGGTATGTAGGCAGTCTAACGAGGAGGTTAGATGCAACCATAAAGTATACGAAAAAAAAAATTAAAAATTACTACGCAAATTCGAGGCATGAGCTGAGCTTGATACATATCTCGGAGACGGGGTATGTTAGATAAATGGGTTTTTGATGACGTCACGTGTTGGTCCTGGACGTAGGTCGGGATTGGGGTGTGACATTCTGGGTGGAGCACTAGCAATATAGCATGCCCTATATCTAAGGATGATGTAACATTTGGTTGGCATGTTGTAAAGGTTTGTTACCTTGGTCATCGGAGATGGTTGTCATGGGACCACGAGTGGCGGAAAAAGGATAAATAGTTCGACGGGAAAACAGAGCATCATCTCAAACCTAGAGAATGGTCCGGTGATCAGATTTTGGAACAACTTAACCGTTTGGATTTTGCTCCATTTGGAAAAACAATGAGTAGGACCATATCTTCTACACATATGAACTACACGCAAAAGTCTATGTTTTTTGAGCTCCCGTATTGTTTAAAACTAAAATTGAGACATAACCTCGACGTTATGCTTGTTTAGAAAAATGTATTTGACACATTGGTGGGCATCATTCTAGATATTGAGGGCAAGACAAAGGACATGATCAAAGCTTGTCTTGATTTGGAACGAATGGGAATACATAGGGGTTTATGGATGAATAGGGACATTGATAAAGCCAAAAGGGATCTTGCGTTTTTTTTCCATGAAACTGAATGACAACAAAGAGTTTTTAAAGTTTTTATTATCTGTAAAGTTTCCCAATGGGTATGCTTCTAATATCACGCGTTGCATGAATGTTGACGAGGGTAAATTCACTGGACTAAAGAGCCATGACTGCCATGTGGTTATGCAACACCTACTTCTTGGTATTCAACACCTATTGCCGGAAGATGTAGTAAAGCCAATCATATTGTTGTTTAGAATTTTTTTCCAACTGATGGCAAGAACGCTAAGAAAGACAGACGTTAATCAATTGCTCAATGACATTGTCCAAATCCTATGCAAGTTTGAGATGATATTTCCTCCAGCTTTCTTCACAAGTATAATCCACTTGATGGTTCACTTGCCGGAATAGGCATTGCTTGCTGGTCTTGTCAACTATCGCTAGATGTATCCAATAGAAATGTATATAATCCTCATCATTTGTTTATTCATCATTAACTGACGCTTACTAATTTGACTCGCCTCGTTTTATTTTGGCAGGCTTCTCGGGGAGTTGAAAAAGTGTACGAAACAGGGCGAAACCTTATGTTTTTGCCCAATGTGCACGACCCTTTGGAGATAGCACCTTGGTTCGTACTGAACAATTGTGACGAGACAATGGCATACCTAGATGAGCATGAAGAGATGATGAAGCGAGAACATCCATCACATTTGTATGCCAAGAAACATCGTGAATTGTTTACATAGCGGTTTCTTGAATATGTAAGATATAAGTGTTTTGTATTTGACATATATGTTGTAGTATTTAATTTTTTCAAGCTAACATGTGTATGTTTTTGTATAATGTTAGGTGAATAAATTGAAAGCATCGAATTCCCCCACTTATAATGAAGAGTTATATAACTTGGCGTTCAGACTGATTCGCACTGAATTGTTCTCGGGTTGCCATGTTAAAGGCGTTAACTTTTTGGTGGCTGTACGAGATGACAAGCTGTGTACGCAAAACAACAATGTCCATGTCCCAGGTGGTGACGAAAGTACATACATTGATTTCTATGGGAAATTTACAAGTGTTGTGCAATTGCATTACAAAGACCAATGCCAAGTGATCATGTTTAAGTGGCGATGGTTTAATACAAGCCCATATAGGCAGGGAAGTGTTAAAATCGACCATGGCTTACTATTTGTAAACACTTACAGAATTTGGTATGATGATGACCCTTACATTTTGGCAAACATGGCAAAATAGTTTGTGTATCTAGATGACCCTAAAAATGGGAGATGTTGGAAAGTTGTTCAAAAGATGGATAAGAGGAATGTGTATGTTATACCAGAACAAGACCCTACTAACGATGACGTCGACAACATCGCTGTCCAACGTTTAGAATCTTCAATAGAAAATGATGCGGAAACATTTCGAGATACAAATCTTATCCAAGAACAATTTCAGATACAAGGAGTGGCTTCAATTGAAATACCGATTTAGTCAATTACAATTGACCTTGATAATCTTCCGTGATACGATGTTGCAGTGGGCCCGAACGACGACGGTGATGTACCTATCGAGGAGGAGGAATGAGAGACTGAAAATGATGATAATGATGATAATGAAAGTTATTGTAGTTCGAATGATGAATAATGCACTTATTTGTGACTTGTTTTGTAAAACATATTAAATCATATTTTTTGTATTTTATTTATCTTATGTTATAAATAAATTATTTTTACTTGAATAAATTTAAAATAAATAAAACATTAACGTGTGAAAATTAAATTTTCAGCTCATTACACGATGAGCTGAATATATTCTATTCGTGGTGAGCTGAAAATTTAACTTTCTGAACGGGCACGAAAATAATTTCGTGAAAAGTTGAATTTTTTGCGCGACAAATATATTCTATTCATCGCGCCAGATCAACGGGATTTAATTGAAATCGCGAACACTTTCCCTCAGCTCTTCCTCTCTGTAAGCTCTCTCCCTCTGACAGCCCTCTCATACAACTAAATTTCTGTCAACCTCCCTCTCGGCCTCTCACCCTCTCGCCCCCTCGCACTCTCTCTTCCTCCTCCGACAACCCTCTATCTCTCTGAGGTAATTTTAGGATTATTTCATGCTTTGATAATTGCTTTATAATTAGGGTTCTAAGCTGCTTTGATTTTTATAATTAATTGCTTTCTGGTTGCTCGAAATCGAATGCTCTGAACTAGGGTTCGAATCTGCTTTGATAATTGCTTTGATTTTTATAATTGATTTTTATACACATAATTTGTCGAGTACAAATTCTGAATTAGGGTAGTAATACAAATTCATTGCTTGTTAGTTGTTTGCAAATTATTGGATAGCTTCTGTAAGTCCCGTAGAATTTACATTTTATTGATTTAAAAACTTATAATTCTTTGTTTGTTTTTCATTTTGTAATACTTGATCATATATGGATGAAAGAGGGAACGCTGGAAGATGTTGAATTCCAGAATGCGTGTGAAAAATGTCGATTGCTTTTACTTGTCTAGTTATTTGTTTGTTTGGAATTAAGGCACCTTCGTATGCATGGAGTCGAATAAGTATTGGAAGAAATATGTCCACTGGTCCTTTACTTTGATAGGAAAGTGAATTAGACTGTATAATGTGCATTTGCTTGGTAGTACTCTGTGGTGCAATGGCCGTTGAAATGAATAGTTAAAACAAAGAGTAGACATGTAAAAATGATAGAGTCCATTGCACTCCATAATTGTATCCATTCCCAATTAAAGAACATAGGTATATCCATTCCCAATTTTTTCCTCATCCAAGTCAACTCAAAAAGTCACATTGATAGGTGCAAACATGTAAAAATGATAGAGTCCATTGCACTCCATAATTGATATATGCAATTAAAGAGCTTAACAGATGGTAGATGAAATAGATAAGCTAAATTCTCAGGTTGCATAATCCTCTGTTAGCTGGATGGATCCTGAATTCAAGTTGTTGTGGACTATAGGCGGGTTAAGCTGGTGCATATACTTGAGGCAGTATGCCATGCCCATTGCGATTCTCAGTCGCATTCTCCAGTCCAAGTGCTCAGCTTCTTTTACTGCAGTTTTCACTAGCATTAGATATCTCATGCATAATTAGCACAAACACATACATTTGAGAGAATGTAGCTATATACTCACTGTGTAAATGCTCAAAAAGTGTCCCATTCGGAGCGTATTCAAAAACCATTATTCTGGTGAAAGGTTCCTCTTCCTTCTTAGAAAACTGTAATAGTGAAACTGATAGAAGGCTAGAAAAATTGCAAGCAGTGGTTGAATAGTTTTCTATATTCATCAATAGCAAAGGAACGAAAATATATACAAATACATCAATCCAATCATGCCTTCTTCTACGGCATAGAAAACGTGATCCGTCTAAACTGGGATTTGACCTACCTAATATAAGAAAGTAAATATCCTACAGTAATGATGATATATTACAAGGATTGTACAATATATTACAAGGATATTTCTTAATATTCCTCGCAGTACCCGATAAGGCTGCCAAAGTTCTTGTGGCTCAGTTTCGATAATTTTTCGATCTGAAACCATAACCATTGGAACATTAGGCCCTGCCAAAACAGATTAAGCAAGCATATATCAATGTTCAACTTTAATTGCAAATGGTAGATGAAATAGTTATGTATTTTCAATGATAAAGAGCTTAACAGACATTGAGTATATATGTGATTTCAATCATGTGTTTTTTCCTCTTTGGGTATATATGTGATTTCAATTATGTGCATGCTTCCGCTATTTTATTTCAATTGGAATCGCAAATTGAGAGGTATGTTGTGTTTTGATTAAATCGTAATAGTTTGTCAAGATTGAGTTTATCTTAGAACATATACTTGTCTAGAAACCAGTAACCACCATCTGTGTTTTATGAATGAGGAAAGCACATAGAATATAAGTCTATTTCGTTTGGTCAATATGAATGAAAGAATGATATCTCGTTTTGTATATATTGTGCCAAATATGAAATAAAATAAATTTGGTAAGCTTTTCTGGTGAGGTTTGAGAAAGCCATCACAGTGCTTTTAGTTAATTTCTTTTGTTTACTGCTTCACACTTGTTGGGGTATGTATTTAGTTTGCACCAAGCTGCTACCAGTGTTTCCCCTTCATCAAATCCACCAAGCTGCTACCAAGCTGATGAGTATGCTAGCTGACAATTTGTGGCTTAATCGACACATAAATGATTGTTAATCTAGACACATATTTTTTTGTACTTGTAAACTGCTATTTGCATGCATATTACCACATAAGCCTTATTAATTGTTATTGTGGTGTATTTGATAAAATTTCAATAACTGGTAAACATTTTCTGACAGTACTTGTCCGCACACCATTGTATTCACTTGAACTCACTGTACAATTTAGTTCCTCCTATTTTTTTGTCCATACAGTTTCATTGAAAGTTTCCATTTTGTTCTAACAATTTCCATTGTTTCTCTTGAATTCTTACTGGTTGTGATTATTTATAGTATCTTCAGTAATTGCTGCCTTCAACATAGTATGATTATTACTTTGGTGACATGAAAAGTATGTCTTTGTATGCTATGCGCTAATGGTAGTTTTGGTAGAGCTAGTGGCAGGCAAGAACTTTAACTGTCTTGTTCCAAGGGGTGTCTGATTAAATTTATTCATCAATAGAATTTCTCTTTTCCTCTTGGGTTTCTCTTGCTTGCATTTTCAGATAGATGATTGGGAATTATGCGTCTATACGTGGGAAGAAGGGGAAATCTTAACTAGGGGAACTATAAAGAGACCAACCAGCTAGGAAAGAAGCTAAGCTTCATAGTGAGTGGGACCAGTTAGCAAGACAAACCAAAAGCAGGAGACACAGATTGAATTGACTAGGAATAGAATAGTTATGCAGCAATATCACTTTTCCTCAACCCTGTCTGCACTTCTATATGCATTAAATTTTTTTTCTTCTAATTGTGCAGATGTCGCAGCTTATTAGAAGTCATAAGGAGGTGATGACTGCACCTTGTTTGATTCCCCCGCCTCCTACTTCAGCCGCCACTGCCCTAGTAGAAATGGACCCCAGGTAGTTAATCCGAGTGATCCGGTTGGTCCCCAGGTCTCCCAGGTGCCGGAGTCATCAACCTCTTCAGTGGCGCTACTTGTTAGCGCCAGGCGTGGTCACCGTCACTGCTGATGCCTCGGGGTCACAACAAGGTAAAGTTAAATAACTCCCTTTATTTCCTTGTGAAATTAGTTATTCATATATTAAGTTCAATCAAAATCGTTACATACTGCAATTGTGCATTTGGTCCAAATTTGGCTTATTCAACTATTGTGATTGTTGTTGGATATCAAATACTATTTATTACAATGTCGAGGGTTTGGGAAATGTTATAATTTTAGGGGAGGTTCTGTCGAAATTTCGGTAATTTGTAGTGTTTGTTTGACTTTTTTTTTAATTTTTTTAGCAAAGAAAAATACTCGGGGACCTTGTCGCTAGTTGAAGACAGTGAAGGTCACTCGAGTGACCAACGAACGTATCACAATTGGATACAACGACCTGCATCGGGCTACACCAACGGCGGAGCAGCATAGCGCATTGGCCCACGACATTGGTCACGTCGTTCGAACCTATTACCTTATGCGATGGAAGTCTTGGATGGCGATGCTAGACAAGGTGAGGACAAAGGTGCGTGATTGTTTGTTGGTACGTATCCTGACTTTTTATTGCTTTTTCTTTAAAGTTTATATATTTATATTAAATGTAAGTAATTAATTTGTTACATTGCAGACGAATTAAAAATTCGACGACATCAACAATGATATGTTGGTGTATGTCAACAGGCTCTTCGCTAAATGCTATAAGCAGTGGAAGAGCGACATGCACCAATATTTTCAGACATTTGATGATCCACAGGTTGCCCTTGAGGAGGGTTGCTCGAAGGAGTTCGAGGACCAAGAAGAAAATTAGGTGTGGCTGTGCAGTCATTTTCAGGAACTCGGCTATGTGGTACCTTTTTTTTATTAAGTCTAAAAGTATTATATGTTTCTTACTAATGTTTATTGATTTTTTTATATTTCATTTAAATTACAACTAATACATTCATTTTGTGTGTAACAGAAGAAGGCGAAAGACAACAAGATTAATAAGAAGAAGAATCTTCTCCACCATTCGGGTTCAAGGCCCTTCTCATATAGGATGGAGGCGCAACGACAGGTAATAATAAAGCTATTCATATTCCATCTTTAATATGTCAGTAATATTTTTTTTTGTACTAACATTTTTCTTATCTTGTTCTATTCAAAGGGGTTCAAAATTCCCGGAGATTGATGTCTTTGCAGACGTTTATGTTTGACCCGGGGATGAGTTGCCCAAGTCCCTTCATGTAATTAAGTCTTTAGCTGTGATTACTATCTTATGCATTCAAGTATCATGGTTATTATTTCAATGTTATTATTAATATTTCATGTTATATTACATGGGAGACGATGATGGAGAAGAGGCAATCGATTCTTCAAGAGTTCGTCTCCCAACTTCCTTTCGAGACTATGATTGAGTCAGTGGATCCCCCCGAGGATTCGGGGTTTCAGATCCTTACAGACACCTTGGCAGACACTCAGGAGGAGGACGGGGACGTATTACAGGGGGATGGGGAATGCCCAACGGCGGGAACCTAAAGCCTCTTCATCCTCGCAATCAATGGGCGAGATCACAGCTTTAACAGTAGAGGTGGTCGGCCTTAGGACTGAGCTTGCCTCGTATAAGAGCTAGATGTCACTGATCGTACATGCCCTCAGTCAGTCCGACATTCGTCTCTCGGATATTCGTCCCCCGTCGACGTCCGAGCCCCTCCAACTCGAGCATGCCCAAAACCCCGCCCCTTTGACCTCTGAGCCCATCCTTAACCCCAAGACCTTCTTGCCCCAAGCTTTCTAGCCGCTTGCGAATGACGACCCCTTAGATTGTTCCAACTTTTTTTCTTAGTTTTTTTTACTCCTGTACTTTTTAAACTTTTTCCTTGTACATACATTTTATTTTTATTTTAAATAAATTATTTTTCTCTTCATTACATTTTTTAATTGCAATTTAATTTTATTATTTTATTACAAAAATAAAACCAGAACAAAATTTTTTTTTAAATATTGCAATTTAATTTTATATTTTTATTACAAAATTAAAACTAGAACAAAAAAAAAAATTTTAAAAAATATATATTTTTCTTTTTGCGCGACAAATACCTTCGTCTTGCATAACTTTTTGTGACTAATCCATTTTTGTCCCGCAAGAATAACATGTCGTCTAGCAAAGTTTTTAGAGACGAAGATTAGTCGTCCCATGTATGTAGCCTAGCATTTTTGGCGACGAATATATTTGTTTCTAAAAATTTTATGCGTTGAAAGCAAAACCGTCGCGCCTTCTTCTCCGTGACTAATGTCTTTATTTGTCGCGCAAAGTCTTTCTTCATGATCTTTGCGCGGCGGATTTTGTGCGACGAAGTTTTCGTTGCGCATACGTTTGTGCAACAAAAATACGCTTTACGCGACCAATTTGTGTTCGTTGCGCTAAATGTTAAATGTAGTAGTGTAACCATCAAGCAACATATATTATGGACATACTCATACTAAGTGACATATTAAATTAGTACTGCCAAGTAACACCTTGTTAACAGTCTATTAAAAGATATACTCATACTGAGTGACATATTAAAATAGCAATATAAACATGAACCATCAAAAGCAAAAACACCACAAGATTTGTGTCCCATGAGTGCACGTAAAAGAACAACACAATTTTATATATAAGACAAAGCACCAAATTAAGTAAAATAACAATGAATTAATCAAGACACGTACGTTAAGAAAACATAATGCATTTCTAGTGGTTGAAATAATAATTCATTATTATCGGCTCTTATACTACCAATATTGTTTTCAAGCAAAGCCAAATAAATGGTTAAGTCATAAGCTTGCAAACAACCGATAAAAAATATGCCTTGCTCTTGGGCTTTAAAGATACAGATTCATATAGTGACTTATCTCTTCGGAACACAATCACAAGTTCAAGAACAAAATATTAGAAATGTTTAAGTTAAAAATGTAAAACTTTGTTTGAATGGCAATGAAATGACAACTGGATTACTTGGGTTATGTATAACTTGTTATGCGAGTTATATGGAACACAAGGAAGCTGAGAGCCTTAATAAAATAAAAGTCGTGGAGTTTTATTATGCGTAGCTAACTTATTGAAATCCTTATCAAGTATATACTGAGTGGAAGAGTCATGATGGGACTAATATACTAAAGAGATGGGACTTATCACTCTTATTGATAATAGGCTGGTATGAGTGAAATCCTAGCGTGATATACATGTGTATATATAGAAGTCCCTGCTTCCACACTAATCTGATACTGGAGAGCTAAAACCCTATTCATTTGGAAGAGAACGCTGTTGTGGCCGGAAGTAGAAGACTACTTTCAGTTGGCTTCTCACGCTGTTGTGTGCTGGAAGTAGAAGACTACTTCAGTTGGCTTCTCAATGGCAACGCCTTCTGGTCAGAGGTTCTTACAGCATGTGTGATTTATATATTGGTTATTACTGATCTGTTTGTTGATGTTGGTAATCCTAGTGCCACGATGGTTTTATCGTTGGCTTAGTTATTTGTAGATTAGCCTTACATGTGGTATCTGAGCCAACCCACGTGGCTAGGGTTCCTTGTCTGCACAGAAGGACATGGTTAATTATTCGTAAATTGAATGATGTTATGATCCTGGTTAATTAATTGCTTCCGCTGCATACTAACCAGATAATTTTGATTTTTTTTTTAAATCAAACAAATATAATGAATGATTAGCAATATAGGGAGTAGCCCAAGACCATATAAGCACATAGCAAACCTTGTCCCTCACCGATGTGGGACAACTCTCAACAATTACTTTGTTCCCTCCAGTTTGTGTTTGTTAAATTTATGCAGAGAAGTCAGTTCATCCAGATTGGTGACAGCACTAGGAAAACTCGATCCAATTGCCAAGAAGATCTTTTGGATTCATATTTTATTTGTCAACACTGAACTGATGAGTATAATGTGAATCATAAACAAGGATTTCAACATCTAATCTGCTAAAAAGTGTTTGGATTGTTGTTTTTGGCTTGACATCCAAGAAATTGGACTCGTGATTTGTTTGTAATAAGTGAATAATAATCTGCTCAAAAGTGTTTATTTATTCAAGTCAAACAAATGAATCAATGTATAGTGAAGCATTCGATTGACGAGATTACATTCTTCATCTGCTTAAAAATGTTGGAGTTACGTAAATTGCCCTTGTGTTTGATGCTTTGGCTATGCAACCCTAATATAAACAGTCTCTGTCATGATACTGTGGTTATATGATTATGTTCTGGGAACAATATTGAGATGATAATGGCTGACTGTTATAAATCTTTATGTTTTGTTTTTTTCAGCACCTCACATGACCTCTCTGAATTTTACAAACATTGAGACCTTGACTGGTTCTAACTTCAAGAAATGGAAGGAAGACGTTGAGATTGTACTTGGCCTTATGGATCTTGACTTTGGCATTGAGGGAAGAAAAACCTGCAGCTAAAGGGGGCATTCCAAAACAAGACAATGCAAAATAATTCTTGGCTGCAGTTGGGGAGAAGTTTACAGAGTCAGAAAAAGTAGAAACTGGGACTTTTCTCACACAAATCACTACAATGAAGTATGATGGTGTGGGAAGTGTTAGGGAGCATATCTTGAAGATGGTTGATCTTGCCCAGAAGCTGCAGGATCTTAAGGTACCTATGACTGATTTAGTTCATTTGGCTTTGAACTCTTTACCTACAAAATATGGGCAGCTCGAGGTCTCGTATAATACTCAAAATGAGAAATGGGGCAAAATAAAAAATCGTTGCCTAAGGGTTTGCACCACGCAACCTTCGTCGCGCGCTAACCTACACGCCAAGGCAGTGACGGTAGGATTAGCGTGACGAACAAGTAACAGGCGTCGCGCAAAAAAGGGATTAGCTCAACGCACATCCTCCTTTGCGCAAAAGGGCTTTGTGCGATGTAGGATGTGCGTCATGCAAAGCTGCTTTGCACGACACAAGACGTGCGTTACGCAAAGTGGCTTTGCACGACATAGGCATGTGTCGTGCAAATCTTTTTTTTTATTTTTTTTTATTTTTATAAAAATTTAATTAAATTCTAAAGAATAATTAATTAACCAAGCAAAAGTATTTAATTATAAAATATATGAAAATGTACATACAAGATGTCCAAACAAAAAAGAAAAACTACAAGTGAACTAGGTTTAATACATCAGGCTACTGGGTATCGGCAAGGCAAGGTGGCGCTGAGGTCGAAGGTGGAGCAAGATGAGGTGGTGGTAGCGAGATTTGGAGGCTGGACATCTGTATGGCTTGTACAAGGTCTCGCACCGTCCCGGCATAGTTCCTCATCTCTTCGCCCTGGGCCCTCAGCTGCGCCCTCCTCTGCTCGCTCTGGGCCATCATCTGCGCCGTCATCTGCTTGCCCTGGGACGTTTAAAAACGTAAAAAGAACTTCCATTCAGAGGTCAACCAGATAACAAGCACACATAACTCAAAATTATTCATCCTTGTAACTATGATAACAGATCCATACAAACATTTGGAAACATAAAAGCACTTCCTGCCCCATCAACAACTATTATGAATTGCTCACCTGAACATAGCAAGCCAATGTAACAAACAAACCAGAAAACCTATGTCCGAAAATAAAAATCTCACGGTGGAAATGAACTTTTGCGAAATCAAAGTGCATTTTTTTCTGTCATAGTATTACCTGCCTTACCTCTGGATAGGGTTCTTCAACTTTAAATTGCTCACCTGACAATTCAATGAAAAAAGTTCAGTAATTATGAATTAAGTGCATAAACTCAGAACAACTAAAGACGGAGAACATGATCAGACGGGGAAGTATTTCTTGATGCAAACAACGAAAAAGAACATAAAAGCAAACATTTTCACTAAGCAAAGGATAACTAACCACTACGCTATCGAAAGAATGAGAAAGAATAATGAATTTATGAAGATCTTGCCCTATAACCCAATGACTCCAATTAAGAGGGATTATCAGGACTTGCAACTTGTCATAGCCAGCAAGCACATTGGCACTTGCAACAGCACGCAATATGTTTGCTCTAGCACCCTTAAACAGTGACTTAGCACCCTCATTTTTTATATTTTGCTTAAATGCATCCAAAGAGCTACTATATTTAACTGCTGCTCCTTAGGTCATCATCATTCGTGGTGCACTGTGTAAATGGGGCTAAGAAGCTAATCTAGCACCAATCGTAATTCCCCATCCCAACAAGAAAACAAGAAGATAGCAAAGAAGCTATCATGCAGGCCACCGGTTAAAACCACAGGTTTTAGAGAATTGTACATTCCAAAGTAAAGTCCATGATACACGATAATTCCAACACAACTAAACCATTAACTGCCTTTCAACCACCCTTCTTGGCAGCCTTGGCATCACTTGCCAAGCACTGACCTCGTATTCAACGGAGCAATTACAAAAAATACACAATTATTTTTTCATAGACCTCACATACTCGAGAAAAGTTGATGTAATCTTATTCAAGAACTGTGCTGAACTCACTCAGTTAGTTTAAACTCTCACTCACTTCCCATTTTGTTTCTCCATCATTTGCTCTAGGATTGTGACTAGACAACAACATAAGTAGTTATCTACTACTTATCAACTTGACAAACACCAATATTCTTAACAAACTTAAGTCTAATTAAGAAATTATTAGGTTTTAACTAAAACAAATTTGTAAATTATCAAGAAGATGCCAATGGCAGATCTATAGGGAGAGTTTCTTTCTTTGTAATTTGTTGAGGGTCCAAGCTAGAAACCCCCACCTTCAATACATACTATCATCCCAACCATCCCATCACTATAATTTTACGTGTTGAGTATCTTTTTCTATACAAGCGACAATGGAAAGACATAATCAGACCTAAAGTCTCAAATGCAGAAATAATTGTTCTTAATCACTTGAGTTTAAGTTCGCTGCGAACCTACAAAAACAGTGAAGAAAAAACGGGTATCATACTAGCCAAGTCCTAGAGTGAAAATAATCGAACAGGACATTAAAATCGAGAATAAATACTCTTAACTACTTCAGTTACTGAATTCGACAACGAAATTATGTTACTCAATATTCTCATCGTAATCAAATCACAATCGTTAATCATAAATTCTACAAGTCCCCACCCAGCATGCACATTCAAAATGTAGTTCATATGCCAATCTTGCAAGTTTTGCTTGTACCTGGAAACAAATTGATACCAGTCCAAGGAGCTCAACTCATGCAACTACAAAACATTGAGGGTGGATGGATAGGGGCATTAATGTCATGGTCCTAAACGAACAAAAGGGATGATGCTATTGCAGATGGATGCCCAGAAATAATTGAACAGTGCCCAGAAATTGTTAGCATTTTCCTCCATGTTCATACACAAAACACACATAACAAAAAAAGCAATTTGACCCTAAACCAGAACCAACATCCAATTTTATCTGGAGATTTCGACAAAGTACTCAGAAATCAACATGCAATTTGAGCCTAAACCCTAAATAACAAAAACCCATCGAAAATCAGAAACCCTTACCTTGATTTTGGGACTTGATTCGCGTCGGCTTCGAGAGCGTGGCGGCCCGTCGTTTAGAATGAGGGGGAGAGATTCGCGTGGTGGTCTACGAGAAAGAGAGAGGGAGAGATTCGTGTGGTGGTTCAAGATTTGGGGTTCACGGGAAAGAGAGAGGGAGAGATGAGCGAGAGGGAAGAGAGAAAGAGTTGGAGGTCTTCGGGAAGAAAGCTTTGGGGTTCAACATTTGTTGGAGGTGCACGCCAAAGAATTGGAAAATTGAAAAAAAACCGCCTATTTTTCACTATCGCACCGCTAAAATTATCACAACTAACGCGATGTAGGTATAAAATTTGATGTCGCACAAAGTGGTTTTGCGCGACGATCACATTAAGACGCTGCACAAGGTATTTTTTTTTAAATTTATTATAAGAATTACAGAAAATGTGACTTTCCTCTTTTCAAATTCAATTTTTTTTTTTTTACATAAACCCTACAATAAAATATTTTTCTAACAAAAACACAATAATATATTTTTCTATCGTTTTGATGGGAAACACATTGTACAAAACTAGTTTGAACGATCCAACCATCCAACCATCAAACTTGTTTGCATATGCTTTGAGATCGCATACGCCAAAAATCGCAAAAAAAAAATATTCAGAGATCAAGTAACGGGATAAAATGTTTCGACGATTATAAACGAAAAATCACGATTTAACGGTTATATTAACTCCGATTTTGATGATTTTTTTATAGCTACACTCCTTGACCCTATATGAATACAACGAACTGATTTGATCGTCAATTTAAAATATTTACACAAGTTGATACCACAAAATCTTATGTTATAGTTGATGAAAGTATTAATAAATTCCAAGTGTTAGTGAATTTATCGTTTTGATGGGAAACGCATTGTACGAAACTAGTTTGAATGATCCAACTGTCAAACTTGTTTGTATATGCTTCGAGATCGCATACGTCAAAAATCGCAAAAAACAAACATTCAGAGATCAAGTAACGGGACAAAACTTTTCGACTGTTATAAACGAAAAATTACGATTTAAGGGTTATATTAACTCCAATTTTGATGATTTTCTACAGCTACACTCCTTAACCCTATATGAATACAACGAACTAATTTGATTGTTAATTTAAAATATTTACACAAGTGGATACCACAAAATCTTATGTTATAGTTGATGAAAGTATTAATAAATTCCAAGTGTTAGTGAATCTATCGTTTTGATGGGAAACACATTGTACAAAACTAGTTTGAACGATCCAACCATCAAACTTGTTTGTATATGCTTCGAGATCGTATACGCCAAAAATCGAAAAAAACAAATATTCAGGGATAAAGTAACGGGACAAAACTTTTCGACGGTTATAAACGAAAAATCACGATTTAACGGTTATATTAACTCTGATTTTGATGATTTTTTATAGCTACACTCCTTGACCCTATATGAATACAACGAACTGATTTGATCGTCAATTTAAAACATTTACACAAGTGGATACCACAAAAGAAAAAGGCAATGCAAGAACCCCCAAAAAAAAAAACTTTGCGCGACGTAGGTACCACTGCGTCACGCAAAGTCTTTTTTTTTTTTTTTTTTTTTTTTTTTTTTTTTTGCCCTTTTGCTTATGAGTACAAAATAAATAAATGAAAATGTACTTAGTAAATACACATACCATTGATTTTGATAGGAAACACATTGTACGAAATTAGTTTCAACGATCCAACCGTCAAACTTGTTTGTATATACTTCGAGATCGCATACGCTAAAAATCGCAAAAAACAAACATTCAGAGATCAAGTAATGAGACAAAACTTTTCGGCGGTTATAAACGAAAAATTACAATTTAATGGTTATATTAACTCCGATTTTGATGATTTCTTACAGTTACACTCCTTGACCCTATATGAATACAACGAATTGATTCGATCGTCAATTTAAAATATTTACACAAGTGGATACCACAAAATCTTATGTTATAGTTGATGAAAGTATTAATAAATTCCAAGTGTTAGTGAATCTATCATTTTGATGAGAAACACATTGTACGAAACTAGTTTGAACAATTCAACCATCAAACTTGTTTGTATATGCTTTGAGATCGCATATGCCAAAAATTGCAAAAAACAAACATTTAGATATCAAGTAACGGGACAAAACTTTTCAACGGTTATAAAAGAAAAATAACAATTTAACGGTTATATTAACTCTGATTTTGATGATTTTTACAGTGGTAATCTAACATGGTGTTTGAGGTTCGGTTCCAAGAGGTCTTGCTTTGAAACCTCTAATCCCGCACTCCCCAATTGATGGGGAAAACATATAAGCTCGATTAAATCCTAGAAAATAATCGAAAACATAACAACAAAAGGGTGTAATAAAAACCAGCAAGTCCATGCAAATCTGAGTTAAACTCGATCGTAACGAACTTAAAAGGTTGTGGTTTAAAAAGCTCCAGCCTTTGATATGCCCTTATATAGCAAAAGAAATGGAAGCCAATAAAATTTTAATTAACACCATACTCTTCTGCCAAGGCATCAGGCTGTCTTCAAGCAAAAGGTCCAACACCATTTCAATTCCAAAATTTGTTTTTCGTTCTTAGTCAAACACTACATTTAACGACATAGGTAAACCTGGTTAATGAGACTGTGAAGAAAACCACTCCTCTGCTCGATAAGCGATAACCTTTGTTCCATGATCTTAATAAGTTTTGGAAATGAATCGATAAGCAATAAACTCATATTAAAATTATGGGTAAAAGACTGTTTACCACCCTCATGTTTCGTGGTTTTCAACATTTAGTACATCAAGTTTTTTTTCACAGAGTCATACCTAAAGTGTAAATTTTGGGACAGTCTCATACATCTGTTAGTCAAACTGTTAGTTCTCCCGTTAAGTGATGACGTGGCGCCCTGATTGGACGCCACGTGTCATTAAAAAAAATAAAAAATTTATTTAAATAAAAATAATATTAAAAAATATTTAAATAATAAAATAATAATAAAAAAAAAAAATTTCCTTCTTCTCTTCTTCTTCTTCTCCTTTTTTTTTTTTCTTCTTCTTCTGGGTTCGGTTCTCTCTTTTTTTTCTTCTTTTTTCTTCTTCCTCCTCCTTCTCCTTCTTCTTCCTTCTCCTTCCTCCTCATTCTTCTTCTCCTTCTTCTTCCTTCTTCTTCCTCTTCTTTTCTGGGTTCGATTTTTTTTTTTTTTCCTGTTTTTTTCCTTCTCCTCCTTCCTTCTTAAGAAGGAAGAAGAAGGAGAAGAAGAATGAGGAGGAAGGAGAAGGAAGAAGAAGGAGAAGGAGGAGGAAGAAGAAAAAAGAAGAAAAAAAAGAGAGAACCGAACCCAGAAGAAGAAGAAAAAAAAAAAAGGAGAAGAAGAAGAAGAGAAGAAGGAAATTTTTTTTTTTTTATTATTATTTTATTATTTAAATATTTTTTAATATTATTTTTATTTAAATAAATTTTTTATTTTTTTTAATGACACGTGGCGTCCAATCAGGGCGCCACGTCATCACTTAACGGGAGAACTAACAGTTTGACTAACAGATGTATGAGACTGTCCCAAAATTTACATTTTAGGTATGACTCTGGGACGAAAAAAACTTGATATACTAAATGTTGAAAACCACCAAACATGAGGGTGGTAAACAGTCTTTTACCCTAAAATTATACTACATGAATTTCAAAGAATGGGAAAAGGGGTAGAAGGTGAGTTTCATACGATTACATCACCAATTATTTTTTATGACTTTAATGCAAGAATAATAAGGTAAATCCAAAAATCAGAAGCAAACTTAGCAAATGTATTGAATGCCCATAAAACAATTCATTGAATTTGTGGTTTCACTTTCCACGATGCACATGGGCAGTCGTCGCGCAAAACTGCTTTGCGCGACACATAGGGGCAGGCGTTGCGCAAAACTGTTTTGCACGACGCTAGAATTCATCGTGCAAAGAAGTTTTGCGCGACGCCTCGCTCAAAACAGTTTTGCGCGACGACTGCCCATGTGGGTTGCACAAAGTTGGGAAAAAAGCGGTAAATATCCTTCGTTTGGCGCCAAAATCTTGCGCGACGCACAAGAGTTTCGCGCAAATGCCTTTTGCGTGACGCCACCTTCGTCGTGCAAAGTTTCGTTGCGCAAAAGACATTTGCACGACGAAATTTGCTCCGTTGCGTGAATTTCTGTCGCGCAAATAGATTTTTGTACTAGTGTCAAGAAGAGGGTTGGCTCAAGAATGATAAGATTGTGGATGTGAATTTTGTGCAAGCTGAAAAACGCAAAAGGGATCCTGCTTTTGGTTCAACAATGGCTGCTGGTAAGAAGAAGAAGAAAGCAATTTCTTCTTCGTTTAAAAATGCTAATACCTCTAAGTGACCTCACAAAACCAAACTTGTTAATGCTGAGCTTGACAAAGAAAAAGAATGTTACTTTTGCAAAGAAATGGGTCACTTGAGAAAGAATTGCATTGGCTTCAAAAATTGGCTTGTTAAGAAAGGTAATGAAATAAATATTTTTGTATGTGTTGAGTCAAATTTAGTTTATATTCCTCCTCAAATTTGGTGGTTTGATATTGGCTGTACTTTTCACATAACCAATTCCTTGCAGGGCTTCTCAAAAAACAAGGGAGATAAATAATGAAGTTTACAATGTTTACATAGGAAATGGAAGCAAGGTTGCCGTTGAATCCATAGGGAGTGTTAAGCTAGTCTTGCCATCTAGTTTTGTTTTAGAATTAAGTCCAGTTCTTTATGTACCTTCCATAAGAAGGAATTTAATTTATGCATCTAAGCTAGTTAAGTCGGGCTTTACATTTGTTGGTGACAATCAAATTGTAAAGGTTTTCCATTAAAATGATATGAATAAATTACTTGGCAATGCCTACCTTAAATTTGATATGTGGCAAATGGATTGTACTTATGAAATTGAAAGTTTTAACGTTCAAAGTGTTGGTTCAAAACGAGTGCTCACTAATGCAAAATCTTCAATGCTTTGGCACAAGAGGTTGGGGCACATCACTAAAGAAATGATCATCATCCTTACAAAACAAAACTTATTGCCACAACTTGATTTTAGTGATTTTAAAGAGTGCATTGATCGTTTTAAAGGAAAGCTCACCAACACTAGGAAGATGATATAGGATTAAACCGTAGCCAATCTCTATTAGAAATTGTTCACACTAACATGTGTGGTCGTTTTCCAAATAAAACTACATGTGGAAAATCATATTTTAGAACAGTTATTGATGATTTCTCACAGTTTACATATTTTTTTTTTCCTGAAAAGTCGGAAGCCTTGGATTGTTTTAAATTATTTCATTTGGAAGTCGAAAAACAACTTGAAATACACATAAAAATTGTGAGATCCGATAGAGGTGGTGAGTATCTTGGCGGGTACACTGAAGTTGGACAACACAAAGTCTAAAGGGAATTAAGTTCGATTGCCATAGCAGCCATTCTCAAATTATGGAAACACATAATGCCAAGTTCCTTGAAGATTTCAAAGAAACTGACTTATGTTCAATTGCAACTGTCTCTCCAGAATTCGAAGAAACACATCTTGATGATGAGTTACTTGGCCATCAAGAAACTCCCATGTTCACACCTGTTGAGATTCTGCCACTATTTCCTCGTGACAATTCACCCATATTGCCAGAAATACAGATCTCAAATGGTGCACATGATCCCCACGACACTGCACAAGAAACTGAAATGGGTGTTCTAGCACAGCCAATTGTGGGAGAATCCTCGAATCCTACAGTTGAAGTGCCAGTTAATATGAATATAAGAAGGGGTGTGCTATCCACACACCCCATTTTACTTCTCACACACCCCTTGATAATTTCTATCCATTGATCTTCTTCAATTCATCCGATCCAACGGCCGAAAATTAAAAAGCTGTGTGAGAAGTAAAATGGGGTGTGTGGATATCACACCCCTATAAGAAAGTCGCAGAGAGTTTGAAAGGTAGCTATATTGCCAGATTTTGTGTACCTTAATGAGGCAGAACAAAGTGTAGGTGATGATGATGACCTCATATCATACAACCAGGCCATTACTGGTGCACGATCAAAGTTGTGGAGCCAAGCTATGCATGAAGAATTGGAGTCTATGGAGAAAAATAAGGTCTAGAACCTAGTTCCAAAACTGACAGGGATCTCTAAAACTATTACTTGTAAATGGGTTTTCAAGACAAAGAGAGATTCACATGGCAACATAGACAAACATAAGGAAAGTTTAGTGGCGAAAGGTTTTACACAAAGGGAAGGAATTGATTACAATGAGGCATTCTCCCTAGTCTCAACTAAAGATTCCATGAGAATAATTCTAGCCCTCATAACTCATTTTGATTTCGAACTACACTAAATGGACATCAAAACATCGTTTCTTAATGGAGAACTTGAGGAAGATATTTATATGCATCAGCCACCAGGATTTGTTGAAAGGGGGAAAGTATCAATGTTTTGTAAATGGTGTAAGTCAATTTATGGCTTGAAAAGGCTTCGAGGCTGTGGAACAATAAATTCGATCAAGCGATGACGGCTTCTGGCTTCCAAGAAAACAAAATGGATGAATGTGTTTATCTCAAGGTTAGTGGCACCAAAATTATATTCTTAATATTGTATGTGGATGGTATTTTATTGGCTAGCTCCGACATGTCTCTACTACAATCAACCAAGAGTATGTTGACTCAAAGCTTTGATATGAAAGATTTGGGGTGGGGCTCAATTTGTTTTGGGGATAGAGATTATCAGAGATCGTGCCAAGAAATCACTTGACCTTTCATAAAGACAATACATCGATAGGGTCACCAAAAGGTTCAATATGGAAAAATGTTCAAGTGGGGAATTGCCCATTGGAAAGGGAGATAAAATGAGCTGCGAGCAATGTCCTAAAAATGAATTAGTGAAAGAAGGCATGAAAGACAAACCCAAGTATGCATGAGATCGGACTTAGCTTTTGCAGTAAGTGTATTGGGAAGATTTCAATCAAATCCTGGAACATCTCACTGGGTTGCGGCTAAAAAGCTGTTGAGGTATCTCAAGAGAACTAGGGATTTCATGTTAACTTATAGTCACGTTGACAAGCTTGAACTAGTGGCATTCTCAGATTCTGATCTGGCAGTGCGTGGATAGCAGGAAATCAACCAATGGGTACATCTTTCTTTTGGCAAACAGTGCAATATCATGAAAAATTCGAAGCAAAAGTGTGTAGCATCCTTGACTAAGGAGGCTGAGTTTATAGGGTGCTATGCAGCGACTCAGCAAGCCAAAGTGGCTGTGCTGTGAGAATAAGCGGCTGTGAAATAAATCAGCAGAGTGTTTGGTAAACTTTTTTGTAAAAGTGCTTTTGGAAAAAAAAGCAATCTGATAGTGGGTCTTTTCATTAAAGGAGCACTGTAACTCTGTGTGCTTTGAAAAAAAGCCAGTTTTCCAAAGCTACAAATAGCAGCTTCAGCTTTTTCCTTTGATTTCAGCTTATTCTCACAGCAGCTTCCAAAATAAGCCCTTTTTTTTTCCAGTTTACCAAACACTTAAAACCCTCACAGCTTTTTTTCATGGGTGCTTTTTCTTTAAGCACCTCACTCCCAAACCACCCCTTAGAAACGTTGATAATCATTGATGACATTGAAAGGCCTCATAAGTTGTATTGTGACAACAAAGCTGCAGTCTTCTTTTCGAAGAATAATAAGAGGTCTTATGCAAGTAGATTGATGGACATGAAGTACTTGAAGGTGAGGGATGAAGTGAAGATGGGAACTATTGATGTAGAGTACGTAAACACAGGTTTTATGGTTGCTAATCCAATGACAAAGGCCTTAAAAGTGGGAGTTTTCAAGAAGCATGTGTTTAACATTGGTGTAAGAGAAGCTTTTGATTCAGTTAATGAGTGGGAGTAAGCACTCGATTAACTATGTTGAACTCTAAAAAATGGGGGTAAGGCTAGCCGACATTCACCTCTCCCAGACCCTGCGTAAAGCGGGAGCCTTGTGCACTGGGTACGACCTTTTTTTTTTATTGATTACTATCAGTTGCATTACAATTCATTGTTGATTGGTTATGGTAATTTAATCGAATGATTATTTATGTTTCTTTAAACAAATTTTGGTATTGAGAATAATTTCAGTTTGATTTGAGGAACTAACATTACATTTCCTAAGATCGTGACTTTCATAGTAACATAGTATTTTGAGTTAAGTGTATGCAAAATTTGTGTGCCTTGTTTTCTATGGTTCTGCATTTTTTAGAAGGGTAGTTGCAAGCTTTTGTAGACTCAATGATCATCATGAGTTTTGTTTCATTAAGGTATATCATTGACATTCAAGTGGGTTTTTATTATTTCCAACTAACTTATTGAAATCCTTATCAAGTATATACTGAGAGGAAGAGTCATGATGGGACTAATATACTAAAGAGATAGGACTTATCACTCTTACTGATAATAAGCTGGTATAAGTAAAATCCTAGCGTGATATACATATGTGTATATATAGAAGAAGTCCCTGCTTCCACACTAATCTGATTATCGAGAGCTAAAACCCGTCTCATATAGGTTGGCTTTAGCCCACAATGGGCTCACTACTAGGAACAACTTCTTGGGCGACGAAGGGGATAACATCGTGGAAAGGCCACAACCGTCGTAAAAAACATTGGGCGGCAAAGAGAGTGTCGTGCAAAACTCGTGATGTCAGGCATTGCATGACGGAGGGAAACTCTTTGTCTCGCAAATGAAGATTGCGCAACGAAACTGGTGGTTGTTGCGTGTTCCAAGTGACGAAACTGGGGTTCGACCCCTAAACTCTTGCACAACGGATATAGAGGCCGTTGCAGTAAGATTCTAAAATTAGTTTTTTAAATAATTTATTACTTATTTTTAAATTAGTTTTGTAAATAAAAATGTAAAGAAGAATATTGAATTAAACATTTATTGTAAATGTACATACAATGGAAAAAAGTATTTTTAAATTATAAAACAATTTAAAACAAACTAAAAAAAGTAGTCCTTGACGTCACAATCGCTGACTGGTGGTATTATTACTGTGTCAGGGGGGTTGGGAGGTCGTTTCTGGAGGTGGTTCAACATCGGGGAAGTGAATGCCAGAGATTTGAAGTGCACGACGTATTTGGTTCATCAAATTGTTTTAAGCCACAATTTGAGACTGCTGGGCCACAATCTGCTCCTTCAAGCCCGCCACTTCAAATGTTAGCGTTTGGACCTCTTCAGTTCTCTGCTTGGAGGATGAGGCAGACGAGTCCTGAAGGCGGGCTTTCCCAAGCCCTCAGTGAACATTCCCATGCCGACGACCAAGGGTTTGATCAAGTGTATCTGTCATGATCTGAAACCCAGCATCCTCACGAGGAAATACCTCATCGATCGGGGTCTTTAGGAGAAGCTGGGAAACCACCTCATCCATAACGGTCTGGCCCTTCTTCATCATGGTGGACTAGAAAAATGAAAAAAAACAAATTAATTTGAATATACATGTAATTAATATTAATACTAATTGAATATTAAAAAATTGAAATAACTTACATGAAGCTGCTCCGTCAGCTCATCCCTGGGCAGAACATACACCTCCTTGAACATGTTAATTTCAGGAATTTTTACCCCCTTGAAAAAAATTAAAAAGTGTTAACATAGATTACCAAATGTGTAATAAAGAGTAAAAAGATTGAAAACTTAAAATAAATATATGGTTACCTTACTTCGCTCTTCCAACCTATATGAGAAGTGTCGTAAGCCTGATCGATGAACAAGTTTCTTCTTCAACCGATTGATCGAGTTTGCCGTTATCTTTTTTCTGTTGAATTGAAAAAAAAAACTTATTATTTTAGATATTTATAACAAATGAATGAACAAATGAAAAATTTATTTAAAATTATATAATTTTTTATTAATATATTATTGAAATATATATTATACGTACCAGGTATTTCTCGTCTTGAAAATGGCCACAGAGCCAGTCCTATTTATCCTGACGGTCCACCAACTCTATAGGGCACCCAACTTCTAGAGCGACATTCGGACCATCATATAGCTCATAATGCTTGTGGAGGTCGCTCTTCCATTGAGTGAACCTACTGGAGCAAAGGTTGTTGATGTATTGCAGTTGATTGACATCAAGGTTGGAGAGCTCATAGTGATGCTGCAAAACTGAACAAATAAATAGTAGTTAAAACTTATAATCTTTGTATACTTTAATAAAAATTTAGTATTTGAGGTTAAAAATACTTATCGATAATTCATGAAAAACGACGTCTTTGACTTCTTGTGGGATAGCTCTCCATGACTCCCACATGAGGGGGCAATGGTTCTTGATAACTGACCCAACGTCGGTGCCCAACGCACTGTGCTGCTCCTTTGTTGTAGCTGCACAATGTCGAGGATCCCACATAATGGTGATCTTCTCGGTCGTAGTGCGAGTGGTCTGTGACGTCTTAAGGAGTCTGCCAAGGCCCTTAGTTTTTTTTTATTTTTTGACCTACCAAATAAACAAAGTAAACATTAGATGAATTCTAGTTTGAACCAAAAATTCGTTAGAACCTCCCTTAAAACTATAACATTTCCTAAAACCTGCAGACAATATAACAACAAAAACAACACATCCACCCAACAATTCAAACAGTTTATACCAATTGGGGATGTTAAAACAAAATTTACATCTTGTTGATATGACTCACAATTTACTCAGTGTTACTTAACAATAATTAATATAGGTCAAAATCACAATTCAAATTAACTAGCTAGCATGCATGTTATTCTCTGCAGAAAAGGGATCATCTCATCGTTTGACAAAGAAAGACGTAAAACCGGTTGATTGCTATTTAGCTTAGCATATTCAGATGAATATATCAATCTTTTATAGCTACAAATTAAAATGTTCAACCCAATAAAATCCACACCAATTTTTCTCTATAAAATTAGTTGGAAAAATGGTTATATGTGTGTGTGTGTGTGTGCGCGCGCATGGGACAAACAGTTCAAACTAATACAAATACTCTAGTTGCAAGATAACTTAAGACTAGAAAACATTTGTATCCATTAATGGAGACTATTCTGAATTATTGTTTGCAGTCAATTTGCAGCCAAAACTTGAGAAAATATTAGAAACCACATGTGACACTCGTATATTTGTAAGGAGCATAGCATTATGGCCATGAATAAAGATGAAACTAGAAGCAAGCTTATCAATGGACAAAGCAAGCTTACCTGTCTAAGACCCCTCTCCATGGACAGAGGAAGCCTCACCAGACTGCTGGGCCTCCTCAGAACTCCGGGGCCGTCGATGAGTCTTTCAGGTGCTTAGTACAGGATGCGTCATTGAAGAAGTCAATGACGCAGGAGCCGTAGACACTATTGGCCCCAAATTCTTGACCGAATGGACACCCGTCATGGCCATATCAAGTGTGGAGGTCGCAGCCGCACTACCTCCTGGAGAAGGTGTCAGACTGCTCGTCGGTTTGATATTAAGTTCGACATCTACAAAAACAATTAATTAAAAAGTTACATTCCACTACTTTAATCTGGTTTGGATATACTAAAACATATCCTCACCTTGACAATTAGAAATAAATAAATGAAATTGTAAACAAAGTTCCAAATACATTCCTAAGTTACAAAACTTGTACAAATTATGAATGGAAAGCAGTTACAAAAATCGAAAAAAATGACAACAACTGGTACCATGACAGTTACAAAACTTGTCGCAACCATGTCCATGTGTAATGCAAATGTGAATGAGGGTAGAATGTGTGATATAGTAGCTCAATGTCTTAGCGAATGGGATGACATGACAAAGTTAAACACAGTGCTCAATTCCCACCAACCAAATAAAATGAGAACTTAGAGTAAGGTTTTACATTCTTAAAATGAGATGATGAAATTAATTCCAACTAATTATCAAATGCATGGCATTATAAAGTCAAAACCAACCTATTATCAAATCAATAATAAGCAGCAGTTAGATTCTACATGGTGAAAATTAGTGAGGTTTTAGTGAGGTTTTACCAATTAGAATTTGCAGTTAATTGATGATATTGTACATATGGAAGAAGAAACTCAGAAATGAAGGTAAAAATCTCAGACAAGGACTCCAACTTTTATTTCATTTCTTTGTATATGATTATAAGATTGAGGAACAAAAATATAATCCAAAGTATCATGACATTGACAATGAAAAATGCAATAGATAAGGTGTTAGTATTTTATTTCAAAAGTGTAACTAACTGCTCACATCATTTTTAGCAGTAAGGATTAAGAACTTATTTCCTCAATGAAGAACACATGAGCATAGCTCACATAGGGGTGGCAAATTTAGCGTTGTATCGCAGGTATAGTCATAGGCATTTTTTCTTTTCTTATACCTTTAAAAATAAAAGAGAAAATTAGGTCAAAATAGTATTTGGTAAGTGCTTGAAGGCATCATCAGGCTTTTATGGATAAAACCGACTTCTTTCCAAATCTGATATGCAACTGTTACTAATGTAGTAAATGAAAACTTCAAACTAATAAAGCAAATTAAGAAATTATGTAGCCTATTTAGTATGTTATAGTTATATCACTTTCATTCCGATACCACCGATAAAGTTAGAGCACCCAACCAAGTACCAATTGATATGAGTGGAGATGCACAAGATGGTAAATATATTCATATGTGAGACTTCACATTCCAATTGTGTAAACACACTCAATGGTACCCTCATGTGTAGTGTAGAGTAACTTGAGCTAAACACATGGAGCTAAGAACGCGGACAACACATACATAGGATGCCATGAGAGCACGTGTAACCGTTGAGGCTTGACACGTAGATTGTGTGCTTGGATACGTGATGTAAAATTATGTGCATGGCTTTGCAGTCCCGACGTAAAGATTTATACTCTAAATAATGACTACACCATTCTAAACCTAGACACACAAAACATATTGCAGCTACACAACTTCTCCATAACCAATAATTGAAAAGGTTCAAAACTCCATCTAAAACAAAAATTGATTACACATAATTGATACTGACATATCGGAAACATAAACAAATGCATCAAGATCCAATTTTGACGCTACACTAGGAACAACTATAGTAAGGTGGGTACCACATGCATGTTGTGACTACAAAGATGCTAATTTGAAGTCTCAACTCTGATAAGAAAAAAAGAACAAGCAACCCCTCTTCTCATGAAACACATATCATGTAAAAATAATCATCTCATTACCCCATTTGCATTGATTTTCTCAGCAAACAAACAGAATCACAGAACAACAAAATGATGCTAAAACAAAACAAAACTCAATAGAATCCAAATCACAAACCCTAAACCCAAACTTTAAACTTTATCATCAAATCTTCAACCCCATAAACCCTAAAACAAAAAATAAAACAAAAACCCAACATGCTAAAAGTGATTAATCAAACACAGAGGAACTGAATTATTCAGAAACAATGGGAGAAAAAATTTTAGACCTTGGAGAGTTCAAGGAGCATGTTTTCACGAAGTTTCGCGTTTTCATCCTTTCAAATTTCTAACTATCATAATAAAAAAAATTGTCCTAGTAAAACACATTTTTCATTATCTAGAAACAAAATACGAATACATAATTATAATAAAAAATAATTAATAAATTAATCAATAACCCAAGATCCCCAATTCGAACCCTAAATTCATAACCTAGGATTCCTAAATCCCTTACCCAGGATTCCCAATTTCAACCCTAAATCCCTAAATGTTGTAATTAGAACAATTCAATAGAAAAATCAATGAAAATTGCACTTATAAATAATCGAATTAAGGGAGATGAATTAAGGAAGACTAGGTGCTTACCTAGTAATGTTGTGGCGTCGGGGAGAGGGCGTGGCGTCGAAGTGGGCAGATGTGATAGGGAGAGTGACAGAGAGACACACAAACAAATAGAGTGCGAGAAAGGGAGAGAGGATCTTGAGTTCGAACAAAATTGAGAGAGAGATTAAGTGCGTTTGAGATAGAAAGCGAGAGAGAGAGAGAGCTAAAGTGCCGAAATAAAAACGCGCCTAATTTTGGCAAAAAAATCAAAATTTTTCATGTTTGCGTGATGAGGGTGTTTAAACTTACGTCGCGCCATAGTTAAAAAAAATGAATTTTTCAATATTTTCGCGACAAACATTTATAAAACGTTGTTGCGCATATGTGTAAATTTAATTTATTTTTTTGTTTAAATAAATAAATAAATAAATAAATTTATTTTGTTACAAAATTTAAAGGAAACTTTTGCTTGTATACAAAATAAATACCATTCAATACATATCATTACATTTACATCACAAATTTTCATTAATCCTTTGAACTAGAATAAATATAATCACTATCGTCAGATTCAGACTCCCATTCCTCCTCATTTGTAGGCTTGTCAACATCGTCGTTCGTGCGCTTGGGGGCATTGTATTGCAGTAGATCCCCGAGGTCAATCATAATGGAGTCGATCGGTATTTCGATTTCAAGACGTCCGACTACCTGATACGGTTCTTGTACAATAGTCATATCCCGTAGTGTATCTACACCAAGTACCATTGAAGTTTCCAATCGTTGGTTAGCAACGTCACCATAATCGTCATCGGCAGCAGGATCTCGGTTCGGAATATCATACAGCCCTCTGTGGTCAATCTTCTATATAGAAAATTTGTTTGGCCATCGTTGCCAAAATGTAGGAGTCATCGTTATACCAACATCTGTGTGTTGACTGATAGCAAACCATTGTCTCGCTTAATACCTCTAACCCTACGTGGGTTTGTATCAAACCGGCGACACTTAAACAGGATAACTTCACATTGGTCTTTGTAAAGCAATTGCACAACACTTGTCAGTTTTCCATAGAAATCAATGTTTGCAATGTCGCCCGCACCTGGGACTTGTACCTCATTATTTTTCTTACAAAGCTTGTCATTGCGATCATCTGCCAAAAACTTGATGCCATTTACATGACGACTGGTGTACAATTCTGCGCTTAGGGGCCTAACAACCATGTTCAACAATTTTTCAATGTAAGCGGGAAAATTCATTTCGTTCAATTTCTTCACCTAAATAAATGAGAAAAAGTTGCCGTGTTAGTGTAGCATTTACAATTACTCAAATAACCCAAAACACAAACAACTTACATTTTCACGAAACCATTGAGGAAACAATTCACGATGCTTTTTGACATATAAATGTGAAGGAAGTTCCCGCTTCATCAACCTTTCATGCTCATCTAGGTAGGTAATTGCCTTATCACAATTATTAAGTACAAACGAATGTGTTACCTCCATGTCCATTTTGTCAAACGACTCCCCTTTGATTGGTTCGCCAAATGGTCGTGTAATTTGGACACAAGCAAAAAGTTTTGCACTTCTCACACACCGTCATTATTGCGTTAATGTTAGTTGAACGTAGTCTCAACATCTTGTAGGTACATTGCACAAAATGTAAGTGACTCAAATCCGATTCATGCCTCCACGATTGATCCTTTGGTCTTTGCCCTGTTATGTACACTCTTTTTTAATTCACCCAGTAGTCTGCATAAATAAGCAAATTATCGTATAAAATTAGTCAAATTGTACATACATCACAAATTAAAGTATTTATGGCGATTATATACCTTTCTATCAGATACATCCATCAATAGTTTAATGGTTCGGCTAGAAGTGCCTCATTCGGCAAGTGAATCATCACGTGGATCATGCATGTGAAGAAAGTTGGAGCAAATATTTGTTCAAAATTGCATAGCACTTCAATAATATCGTCGCACAACTGTTTAACATCGAACTTCTGCAAAGATCTTGCAGTTAATTGAGAAAAATATCTCGCCAACAACATAATTGGTTTAACCACATCTTCGGGCAAGAGATGTCGAATTCCCACTAGGACAAGGCATTGAAGTATGACATGACAATCATAACTCTTGAGGACAGAAAATTTGCCTCCATCCATGTTTGCGCAATGGCCGATGTTTGAAGCATACCCATCTGGAAACTTTACAGAAGATGCAAACTGCAAAAGCTCTTTCCTCTTTTCCGGTTCCATTGAAAATGATGCGAGCTTCTTTCTAGCTATGTCTTCGTCCCTCGTCACCCACAAACCTGGCCTAATGCCCATTTTTTCCAGATCAATTCGAGCTTTTATTGTGCCCTTTGTTTTTCCCTCGATGTCCAGTATAGTTTCGACCAATGTATCAAACACATTTTTGTCAACATGCATTACATCGATGTTGTGTCTCAATTTTACTTTGCACCAGTACAGGAGCTTGAACAACCTCATCTTATGTGTCCAGTTTAGATGTGTGTCTGGTCTTGTCCTATTTACGGATTTGCCTAAAGGAGCAAAATCTAACCGATTCACCTTAGCCAAAATTTCATCGCCGAACCATTCTCTAGGGCTTGGTCGAAGCTCTATGCTATTGAACAAGGTTGTCTCGTTCTGACGCCACTCATGGTCCCATGACAACCACCTACAATGGTCTAGGTAACAAACTTTTCCCGTGTACCGACTAGACGTCGTGTCCTATTTGCAAATTGGGCATGCGTAATAGCCCTTAGTGCTCCACCCAGACATCATAGCTTACGTAGGAAAATCTTCTATAGTCCACATCACGGCTGCTTTCAAAGTGAACATCTTCCCGATAGATTTATCGTATGTGGGAACACCGCTTTCCCATAATTCTTTTAGTACATTGACCAACGGTTGTAAATACACATCAATACACCTGCTCGAATCTCTAGTTATCAACAACGTCATCATCATATATTCTTTTTTCATGCACTTCCAAGGTGGCAAATTATACCGAATTGCGAAGATTGGCCAAGTGTTGTGGTTTTGGTTTAGAACCCCGAATGGATTAAACCCGTTTGTCGCAAGTTCCAATCTAACGTTTCGGGGCTCACGTGCAAATTCGGGGTACAACCGATCAAACTCTTTCCAAGCCTTTCCATATGCTGGATGTTTCATAACCTCATGTCGCTTGCAACATAGTGTATGTCGACATATACAATTGCTACAACTTGGGCTTTAATGGGAGATAACGCATAACTTTCTGTAGAATCTTCATTCTTCTATTATGAGATGTCATTTTAAACTACGACTCATTACATACAGGGCATTTATCCAATGCTTGATTCTCTTTGTAGAACAAAATGCAATAATTTTTCACGCATGAATTTTTTCATATCCTAATCCAAGACCACTCAACACTTTCTTTGCACTTTTATGATCTTTAGGAAGGCAATTGTCCTTTGAAAGAATCCTCTTGAAAACCCCCAAAAGGTAATCAAAACACTGGTTTGACATACGAAACTTTGTTTTTCCATGCATCAACTCAATAATGGCCATGAGCACCGAAAATCCTTCGCAACCGAGGTATAATTTTTTCTTGGCACTTTTTAATATTTTTTCGTATTTTTCGAATGCTTCATTGTCCATGGTAGGAGGGGCGTCATATTCTACGTCCACATTCGTATTCGGAATAGCGGTTGGAAAAGCATTATTGATAATGTCATAATTTGGTCATTTGGCTCCACAATAGATTTAATTGTATCCACTACTCGGGTAATGTGGGAGGAAGAAGCATATTGTATTATTCCATGTAGTATAGGTTTACATCATCACTAAATGGTATCGAATAGTTTCAAAATATGAAGGAATATTTTGTGAAAACATGTTCATTTAAGCAACATCATATAGCATGCAATTAACAATTAAAGGCGGAATCATGCTAGCATGCACTTAAAAACAAAACATTAACCAAGAAATTCAAAGCCTAGTAGATTGGTGAACCATTAATCAACTCAAAACAAAGTGAGTTGAAATTTATACCTTTGAAGATTCCTCTTTGCATAAGCAAAGGCTAATCACCCAAAGAGAGGGCCTTCATTCCTTGCATCTTAAATCTATGGATTTGGATGGAAGAATAGGTTTCTCCAAGTTCCCAAAATAGGGAACCTCTAAGTCTCTTCACCAAGAAGAGATTGGAGAAGAAATGAGTGACCTTGGAGTAGTGGGATTGCAAGATGCACCCCCCAAGGTGGTCGGCCTCTTTAGAGAGAAATGGAGAGACATGTTCTCTCCAATTTTCCCCAAAACTAACCCTAATGAATTTTAGGCTATAAAGTCATATTTATACCTTTATTCATTTGAGTGGCAAACTTGTAATTAAGTCCAAGTTCACTACCCTTAGCATCATGACCGGCCTTGGGGTATTTTTGGGTTGTTTGGGCCTTTGTGAATCATTATTCATTAAGTTGTCATACAACTTAAGTTAATGGGCTTGACGTTCGAAGCCCATTGGGCCTTAAGGTCCAAAACTATCCCGAGGTCTTTAACGAACTTATTCGTTTGATTAATTAACATATTAATTAATCCTTGCCATAAATAAATGATTAAACCATTTAATCATTCTTTACTCATCTCCGTTTAATCTCCAATCTCCACCTCTTATGGTGTGCGATCCATTAGGTTCCTTTTAGCGAGGCAGTGGGCGATTAAAACCATTTTACATCGATTGTGAATTGAAACTTACTTTCAATTCTCCCTTTAGTGATTACACACGTTTAGGGCTTCCACAAACCATGAGTGACACCTAGCAGCATATCATGGTTACCCAAGCTAATCAGAAGAGGTTAGAGAACCTATTCAGTTTGGGATTACAAATGCAATACGGTCTTTCTCTAATCTAATACTCTTGACCACATTGTTTGGTTTGATAGTTTATATGTTCATGTCTACTATCCAATGTGATTCGTGTGCTTATATGATTTCCTTGAATGTGATTTAGAACGACTTTTCTAAATCTCATTCATACTCTGGCCAGAGATTCTAATCATATCATAGAGTATTCTCCCTCAAACAGTTTGAAGGTTAGAGATCCCTTGTTGCGCATTCACTTGCCTCCATGGCTAAGTGGCTTAACCCCAACGATGCCGTGGACACCCTCCTGATGCAGTGACTTTGACAT